ATTCAATTAACACATCCGATCAAGATGACGCTCAGGTGGAAGAAGACGAGGAAGATGATAATGCTCCTCTGATACATTCGCTCAAGTCATCTGCTAAGTTGAGGTCATTACGAGTCTCGAGACAGGAAAACTGAGGCAAGTAAAGGACTGGATCTTCTGCAAGGGCTACTGATAATTAACCCTTCAAATATGAGAGGTATGGACTGCATTTTATAATTTCCATGGCTGTCTTGGAGAGTTTTTGGCCAAAGCGAAGAATCTAGATTGCGTTTTAATCAACATAGTAAAATTCGTATCTTCAGCCAAAAGACCAAACACCAAGTCACCCATGGAAACTAGAAAATGCAGGTCGCATAGATGAGAAGCATCTAGTATCTAATCTATCCTTTTTTTTTAAATTATGTATGACGTCATAACTTAGGGATTTGTGTAGTGGAAATAGATTCGGATACAAATAATCCTCAAATGTCGGTTTGTGTTTGAAATGCCATGTTAGGATGCCTTCCTACTTTTAGGTTATTGTGTTTGCTAAATGCTAATTGCTGGTGGAAAGCTCAGAGTTCCGCTCGTGTGATTATAATAGTTGGGTTTATACACTTACAAAGCAAGGTCTGTCCAAAGGCCGACAATGCCCTGCCCGATCCAGTCATTGGAGTGTTAAAGAAAGTTGGGAAAATAGAGAATACAGTGCTCTGATCTAAAACAATGCATATTTTATGTCATTCCAATTGGGGAATCAATTAGGATTTTGAGCTCTCCAAGCCTTGACGTTGACAAACAGGAACATGGCTGGTTAGCTTTAAGTTCAAGTACACATTAAATATGAGAAATAAACAACTTCACATAAAGGTGAAGTGCTTCTCTCATCATGAAGTTTTCTATTGAATTCCGTAGGGAAGGAAAAAAAAACAAGATTTTAAGGGGAAAATATGATATTGGCGCTCAACGTTAAACAGCAAATCCGCTGTTGGGTAATTATATTAGATTTTGATTATATTTAAAATTAAACTAAAGTTACAATCTGTTTTACCTCACCAAACGTGTTGGTAACAGCTGTTTCTTCAAAACAACTTTTCTTTCATCTTTGGAATACATAAAGCAATTGTCTTTAAGCACAGGATGGATGGAGAAAGCATGCCAGAGATAAAGGGATCGTAGTTGGCTTGGCTGAGTAAACAATCGGTTAAATAAAATTAATTCAACAAATCAGTCGATTTAATTAAATTCATTTAATAAGTTTATATAGTTTTGATGGTTAATTTAATTCAATTTTAGAAATTTAAATCAAGTGTATTTTTGATTAATTTAATTTAAAAATAAAATTACATATGTAAATATAAATCAAAATAATTTAATTAATTGTAGTAATTAACATTTAATTTTACAATAATAAATGTGTGAAATATTTATTTAAATCGTCTAATTAAAAAATCTGTTTAAATATTTTGATTTTGACAATAAGTATCTAAATTGGTTTGGTTTAATACTAAAATAAGTGATCAAATTATACCACTTTCCACGAATAGGTAATTAAATTATTTTTTTCACTCATCCATAACGTTACCCCTTTAGGTTTTAACAGTCGTTAAAAAAGTCCGTAAAGTGACATGTCACAATCTGATAAATTTTTTAAAAAAATAAAAAAAAATTATTTTCAAAAAGCCTCATTTTTTTTCTAAAATATATAAAAAAAACTCTCTAAATCTCTTAATCTATTCCCCTTTACTTCAACTGTTGGTCATTTCTGGCCACCTATCTACCAGTGATCGACAACTCATATGTCGTCGACCGCCCATTGGACGGTCATAACCCTTATTATCATATCAAAACCCAAATTTTTAAGATCTCTAATCCCTAAAAATCCAAAATACCCACTTCCTTAAATCCCTTTGATCGTGGTGGTAGTTGACCGTGTATCCGATTGTGGCAGCCAACCCCATTGTTATTTGTTCAGTCGTTTAACCATGGAAAACTAAAATCACGAGCACTGCAAGGGACGGTAGGGAGGGGCGTGCATGCAGATTGTTTTTTTTAAAGAAAAAAATTCAAAATTTTAAGATTATGACACATATCACCTAGTAGAATTTATAATAACCTTTATGGTTGAGACACCTAAAGAGGTAACGTTTGTAACGTTAGACATATGAATGAGTTAAAAAATAATTTAGGTACCTATTTGTAAAAATCGGTATAGTTTGATCACTTATTTCGGAATTAAGCCAAATGGTTTTAATGCACATCTCTATGGTGCCGTTTGGTTCGCTTGAATGTTTCTGAGGGAATTGGAATCTGTGAAGGAATTGGAATCTGTCAAGAATTGGAATCCAATTTCATATTCTGTTTGGTTGGCAGGAATTAAATTGGAATCCAATTTCATATTTTGTTTGATTCGCAGACATGTCAGATGAATTTGATTTCAATAATGTAAAATGACAGGATTGCCCTTCTTGTTTTTTTTTTGCTTAATTTTAGTTTGTTTTATAAATTACATATAACAATATATTATAAAAATTTTAAAAAAAATAAATTTTAATTTTGGTCCACCCAATTAGAGATGGTTATGGGTTGGGTTGGGTCGGGTTTTTGGTCCACCCGACCCGTGAACAAGGGAACCTCCATCCGAGACCTGACCCGACCAAAATAAAGTTTCACCTGACCCGAACCGAATATATGAATTAGAAACCCGACCCGAAACAATAAAAAAATTATTTTTATTCAATAAAAATAGACTTAATTGAAAAAATATATATAGAGAGGGTATTATTGTAATTATTCCTAAATATATAAGGTAAAATTATATATTTTTTGGGTCGGGTCGGGTATTTTTCACCCTAAACCCGAACCCGACTGACCCGAATATCACACTTTAAAAAACCGATCCGACCCAACCGACCAAAATAAAGTTTCACCGACCCGAACCGAATATATGATTTAGAAATTCGACCCGACCCGAAATAATAAAAAAATTATTTTTATTCAATAAAAACAGTAACTTAATTGAAAAAAAATTATATATAGAGGGGTATTACTGTAATTATTTCTAAATATATAAGGTAAAATTATATATATTTTCGGGTCGGGTATTTTTCACCCTAAATCCGACCCGACCCGAATATCATACTTAAAAAAACAGACTCAACCCGACCAAAATAAAGTTTCACCCGAACCAACCCGAATATATAAATTAAAAACCTGACCCGAACTGAAATAATAATAAAAATATTTTTATTCAATATATAAACAAATTACCAAAATTGATGAGAATAGTAGGCCTGTAAACGAACCGAACGCACACGAACGGAGGTATGTTCATGTTCGTTCATTTAATAAAAAAACGAACATAAACGAACACGAACATAAACGAACAAAATATTTTTTGTTCATGTTCGTTTATTAAGGAATATAACTTGTTCATGTTCGTTCATTTAATAAACGAACACGAACATAAACGAACACGAACATAAATGAACACGAACATAAACGTTGGAGACCCTACCTTCCATTGTTCTTTCATGAAAAATAGTCGACAATGCAAATCAACCAAATCTACAGTGATAAATAGCGTAAGAGTTGATTAGCAGTGATGAAATGTTTGAAGATATCAAATATTTCGATCGATCTTTTAAAGATATTAAATGATTCACACGACTTTAATTTAACGCTATAACATTTATCTTAGTGGTCCATGATTACATATGAACAATCATTTTCCACTACGTTATTCTAATAAATTCGCTGGCTAAAAGTTTTGTGACATCAATGTCAGACTTTAGTGAGGTTTGTTAATAATGGTCATTTCCGTTGGCAGAGTAGAAAATTTAACAGCATAAAGATTTCGAACGGTACAAATTGGACTACAAGACAATAACATAGATTCGAAATCCCTTCGATGCTACATATTGTAACTAATATTATTGCTAAACCACCATTCAAAATTTTAACGTACCTAAAGTCTACTCTACAACTAAAAGTCACACAAGAATTATAAAAACAAAAGTTCATTGTCAAAATGTATTTTCTACTTATTAAAGGGTTCTTCCTGAAAAACCCATTACTTCCGCTATTACACTCTTTTTTCAGAAATTGCATAGAAATCTTTGTTTTGTTTTATGGTAAATTCTATATACTTTTCTCTTTACTGATGCTCATATACTTCCGATTATTACATTTATCTTCCCATCTATTTCTAGAAAGAAGTATGATGTTTTCTTGAGTTTTAGATGTGAAGATACCAACAATAACTTTACATATCAACTATTAAGCTAAATAAAACAAAGAAATAAATGAAAACAGACCTGTAAAACTTCATATTGCACTATAATATAACTTGTTTTGAAGCTTCCAGCGATCGTCTCTACTCTCCAGTGAACACTAGAGTTTGGGAAAAAGGGGGAAAATGAATATAGGAACATAAATTGGTCATTAGAATATCAGATTAATTAATATTTTTAAGATACTTACAAATTGGTCACCAAAATTGATTTAAGAATATTGGGTTAAACATAAATGAATGAACATAAACGAACATAACCGAACGAACATAAACGAACATAACCGAACGAACATAACCGAACGTTCACGAACGTAAATGAACGAACGAGACATATGTTCATGTTCGTTCATTTAATTAAACGAACACAAAATCTTGTTCATGTTCGTTCATTTAATAAATAAACGCACATAAACGAACTTCCCGCCACACGATTCATGAACGGTTCGTTGAACGTTCAGTTCATTTACAGGCATAGAGAGTACTATGAACAAATTTTAATTCTAGCCAACAAGATAATTAAATTCATAGTAGAAGGGATGAAATTTACTTTTCCTTTTTTTTTTTTTTATTAAAGTTGAAGCCTACGCCACCTATGTATCTCGAGTTTAAATTCTCGGTAAGAACTAGTATTAAAGGAGAGAAAAAAATCACAGAAAGGAAATTCGGTGCAGAGCAGGGAACCTCCTTATCCTTTCGTATATTCTGTGAAACGGATAAATTTGCCGCCATTTTCTAGTGGTTTTCTTTTTCATTAGGAGCAATGTCCGTTCCTCTCTTCAACCTTGCTCCGAATTTGACAGTTTCAAGGCTCTGTCTAGGTTTGTCCATGACTATTCTCTTCTGTCGCCATCACGGATCTGCCAAATTGGAAGCCTCTAATTCTCTCTTGGTTTTATCCTCAGGAACAATGACTTTTGGGGAGCATAACTCTCTTCCTCAGTCATTTCGTCTTCTCGATCAAGCTTTTGAAGCTGGAATCAACTTCTTCGACTCTGCCGAAATGTACACCTTCTTCCACGCTTCATTTCACACCGATTCTGGATTTTTGGCTTCTAAACGTTGATGTATTTATGTTCGTATTCTGTTTTGTAAGTGTAGGTACCCAGTTCCTCAGCGTGCTGAGACTCCAGGGAAAAATGAGGAATACTTTGGTCAGTGGGTTAGAAAGAGGAATATCTACCGTTATCGTGTTGTCATTTCTACCAAGGTTAGCTCTTTTTCTTGCCTTATCAGATGTTAGTGGTTGATGTCTTCTTAATAATCATTGCCCATTCGATATTTGAACCATCTTACTTTGCCTTGAAAAAAGTTCGTTTTGACTTCATTACAATAGTCGTAAGAAATTCCATTTGAACCAGAGTTATATGCACATTTCAATCCAGGATTGAATAAGTTTATGATTGGCACCCCTTTACCTCACAATAGATCTTTTTATCTGTTGACCTGAGCTTCCACAAGGAATGCAGTGTGTTGATAGATCTCCCATATTGTTGGTCGAACTCCCAGCAATCAGATTGTTCTTGGGGTGTCTATGTGCGGTTTTAGCATTGGGAGTTAGGCAGGGAGCCACAACAGTTTCCCAAATCCCTGGTAGATTTGGGTGGTGAGCCACGTCCCAATGTTACCCATTCTCCCTAAGAAATGGTACCATGGGCACATTGCACTCCACCCCAAATCTACCAAGAGTGGACCACACAAGGCTCTCCCAGAAGCCTCTTAAGGGTCGGGAGGCAAAATAATTGGGCTAAAACCACACATAGACACCCCAAGAACACTATCTTCTGATTGTTGAAGGGTTTCCATAACATCAGGATAGATCCCTCAGCACAATGATGTAGTTTTGAAGTTTATAGCAATTTTTGTGTGGACTTATGATGGTTTTCATTGTGCGGGGAAAATCCCAAAATGAGTATTCTCCTAAAGGTGCATTGATCACTCTATTATTCTTTGCCACACATTTGAATGTTTTTGCATGGAATATTGATCATAGAAGTGGTTATGAAACAGGTTACCAGGCCATCTGGTCAAATGAGTTGGATTAGAGATGGGCCAAAGTGTTTAGATGCCAACAATATCACTGAGGCAATAGATGGAAGGTTAGTCCCATATGACGTCGCAGTTTCTGTAACGTTAATTGCACTGGAAATGACTCTGGATTGGTCCCTCTTTGAAATTGTTTTTGCATTAATTGTTACATTTTATGCTACCATGCTGTGTAGAGTTTCATTATTACTTGTAGCAAGGGGACTCTCTTTCCAGTTCCTTGCCATCCTTGCATGTTAAGGTACCTTTTTTGTCTTAGAACCAATCTTAAAAGCTATTTTGCTGATTCTTCTTTTTCCTTCAAGTACCAATTCCCTACTCATATTTGGATATAAGTACGGGAGTACAACTCTTCAAATATAACTTGGAACAATTGAGCATACTTGTGTGGAAAACATACTCATATCTGACACTCACTTACAAGTCCAAATAATGTCGTTCAAAAGTATGTAATTTTTGTTACCTTGAAAAATATCATTTATATTCTGGCCAGCTTTCCATTTGCTGAATCTGCAACTTATTATTAATTTATAATAATTGCGTCACTGAATCTGGGTTTTTTTTCTTGGCTTTTTTTTTAGCGTGAACTTGGAATCAATAGCTTTCAGTATTCTGGATGGTCAAACTTTTCGTTACTGAATGTTATCTTAGTAATAGATATAGTTTATTGCAGTTGCAATTTGTAAATATACCTATATTAATTTGGTTTTCTTCAGTACCCGATTAGAAGTCTGGAAACTGTATTACTTGGTTTTTGTGGATTGGATAGTATGCACGGCAGTTGTAGTTACTTGAGCATTGTTATCTAACTTAACCGACATCATATTTTGTGCATGTATGTGCACTACCTATAACCACTGCAATTGATTTCGAGGAGAATAATGTTATGAGTGCCTGTGTGTGGGTGCTTTTGTATTCCTTTGTGCAGAAGCGGCAGATTACTTCCCTCGATGAGTCGCACTGGAGCGAGCCGGAATATTGCAAGCGCTACAGTGTATTTGGGATATAATTGGAATTATCTTTATCTTTGTGTTGTTTTTATGTGATTATGATTAAATGAAACCCTCGGTTGCTTCCCCCGCAGCTGTTCTACGCATATGCAAAGACGATGGTGGAAAAAGAAGTGTGGAGAGTAGCAAAAGAAACCGGGTTCGACATGGTGGTGGTGAACCCATCGTTCGTGGTTGGCTCCTTGCTTACTCCACACCCCACCAGTACTCTGCTCTTGATACTCGCCACAGTTAAAGGTTAGTACCTTTTATTTTGTATGCTCTTTAATTGAGAGAAAATCGAAAATTGATTAACGGACTGTATGTGACGAATATCATGTGTATAAAGTGATAAAATACACTCTCATGTAAAAGGTGTGGTTTTGCCGAACTTGTGATTATTCATGCAGATGGAGTGAGCATTCAGTTATGGAATTCTAAGTCAGCTTTTTCACAGCTGTAATTTGTTAGATTGGTTAAGGATTCTAGCCTATATACTGTAATAGGTCTTTTCAATAAAATTAACCTTCATGCAGATGGAGTGAGCATTTTGTTATGGAAAGCTGAGTCACCTTTTTCACAGCTGTAATTTGTTAGATTGGTTAAGGATTCTAGAGGAATAATCACAAGTTGAGCAAAGTCGCACCTTTTGCATGAGAGAGCACGTCACCTTTAATGCTTACAATTTCTAAAAGCATAAGGACTGCCGAAATAACATAAAATATGTTCCCATAAGAGTTGTTTTTATCAGGTTTGAGAGGAGAATACCCGAACACCACAGAAGGGTTTGTGCACATAGACGATGTGGTTGCTGCTCACATCTTAGCTATGGAGGAAAGCAAAGCCTCAGGCAGGCTGGTATGCTCTAGCTCAGTTGCTCATTGGACGCAGATCATCGACATGCTGAGGGCCAAATTCCCATCTTATCCTTTCGAAAACGTGTTAGTGAACCAATATGAATCTAGGGTTTTCGTGTTCCTCAAGAATAACTACATGTGCTTGTACATCCGTTTTTGTTCGTGTCTTTTTTTTATTAATTAAAATATTAATACTATTATTATCATTATTTTATTATTATTATTATTATTATTATTTTAATACAAATTTATATTTTGTAGGCCCAACTGAGGCCAACCCAAAGCCCAAGCAGCCCAATACATTACAACCCAGCAGGCCTAAAACACAAACCCAGACCCAGTGGCAATATCCGACCCAGTTGGAGCCTGACCCGAATCCAACCCAGCTCCAGACCTGTTTGCAACTCAAATAGATTAGGGTTTTAAACCCTAATCCAGTCGCATCGCCGTTAGCTGAAGTGGAACCGTCCGCCGGCGCGTGTATCTCTTCAACTCCCCACTGGAGCGTGAATCCCACCGTTCGTCTCTCCAGTCGTGTGAGCCGTTGTCGTCATCCACAGTGCACCAATAACCACCAAATCAGAAATATATCACCAAATAAAAAAAAACCATTAAAAAAACAAGATAAATCTCGGAAAATCCGTATTTGATTCAATTCAAATCAGAAATTATTTCCCTACATGCTAGACCTCATCATTTCACCCAGAATAACCCATAAATCAAACATGCAATATGAAAAAGGGGGATACCATTTGGTGAAAAGAAAAAAGGAAAAAAAAAACAGAAAGAAGAAAAGAAAATGGAAACACAGAGATAAAAAAGAAAAAATAGAGAAAGAAACACAAAGAACCGAAACCCTTACCTTAGATCCAGTGGTCGTCGTCTCACCGGAGTTTGAAGAGCCTATTCTCGAAGGTAAAACCTTTCTTTTTCTTGGATTAGAGTTTCAAGGTGCGGGGTCTATATTTTTTGGGTAATAGAAAGACTCTTTTGAGGAAAAGAGGGGGGAGGAGAAGTTGATAGCATTTGCTATCTGTTTTGAAGAGAGAGAACAAGGAAGGAGAAAATGAAAATTTGGCCGAATTTTAGGACTTAAATATCAACACCTAAACGACGTCGTTTAGGCCAGAAGGTGTTCAACGTGTTTCCATGTATTGGGTTAATAATGCATGTAGTCCCTGCCTTTTTCAATCTCACCCGCATTTGTCATACTTTTGAGGGAAAATTACAGTTTACTTCCATCAATCTTTGTAATGATTGTAATATAGTCACTTAATGAATTTTTGTCCTCCTATTTCGAGCTGTGTATATGATTCATATTTCATTTTAGTCCTATATATTTCAGTATTTTATATGTTTAAATTTTTAGATTTTGGTTGTTAATTTTGTGTGTTGTTCGTTTTGATCATCATATTTTGTTTCTGTTTGCTACATTTTTTTATTCAATATTTATTCCTATTTCGTTTTGATCACTATTGGTTCACTAATATGTTTAGGGTAATACTTTGTTTTGAGCCCTGATTTATGACTGAGTTCATTTTAGTCACTATCCTAGTGCTTAATGTTTGGGGTTTATTATCCACTTAATCCTCATCGTTCTGTTTTTTTTTTAAATTATTGTATGATATGTTTTGGGTTTATTGCTCACTAGGTCTTTTATATTATGTTTCTGTTTTTTATTGACATTGTATATGTAATTATAGTTGTAAGCATGTATGTATATTATGTTAAATTTTTGTACTTTACATATTTATATAGGTGTATGTTATTTTATAATATGTTTACTTATTAACTAAATTTTATTCGATATGTCATTCGAGTATTTTCAATAATTGCATTTGTAGAAAGAGCGTGGAAAGTATCACTTAATTGAAGTGTTGTAATCCGATATGACGTTCGAACAAAATGAGAGCTTGAAATGAATCAAAGTTATTTTTTAATTCAAATGATGCAATGCATTTTTCTAAGTATCAATTTATTTTATTTTTCGCAAATGTCTATCTTCTATTTATATTCGATTCGTGTTTTTACAATCAACGGGGAGGGAATATTCTTTTACTGATAAGAAATATAGATAGTTTTCCCGATAGATGATTGTAAATCTTGAGATTTCTTTTCAAATTAAAAAATTCTCTAATTAATCAATTCGGAGCAAATTAATTAACTTTAATAAATGAATCATTTTTTTACTTTACATTCGATTCACAAATTTTATCATTTACAACATCGTGTAAGCGACTAAGTATCAATTTTGAGCGTTGTGGGGTGATAATCATTCACTACGCGTAATCGACTCCCGACCCATTAAATCAAATTTTTGGTAAACGCATACCAATTTTTGTGTTACAAAATATTTTTTTCTTAAAATTGTTTTAAAATGCATTTTTAGGTATTCGACCTACTTAGCCCATAAGTCGATGGCGACTCTTATTCAATTTAATCCAAATCAATTCAAAAATCACAAATTTTTCCAATCAAAGTCATAATTGTTTTTTTAAAAATAATACTTAATTGTTAAAAAAAATGGTTATGACAGTGCCATTGATAAATAATTCCACATTTGCAGGTGTAGCAGTCAAGAAGGAGACAATTGTGCACACAGCATGGACACGAGCAAGATACAACAGTTGGGCTTCCCGCCCTTCAAATCCATTCCTGAAATGTTTGATGATTGCATCAAGAGTTTCCAACACAAAGGATTTCTGTGAACTTCATTTCCATTGCCCTCCTCATTGTTAAAAGGTTTAAAGAACGCTCATTGTTAACATTATTATTTAAACTATTATATATATATATATATATATCAGTTATCTTACGTTTTTTCTTATTGTTTTCACTCTCACTGAATCTGTTTTTTTTATTCATCAGGATAACATAATAATATCAGAAAGTATCTAAAATTGACGATGAGCATACTTCATAAGTTTTTTCATGTATATAATAAAGCTTTTGCTTAAGAATACAAAGAGGCGAAATCTAACACCAAGGCTTAAAAGATAACTCTGTTATACAGTAGAAATGATCATGGTTCGGGTCACATTGAATTTTTTATCTATCTAAACTTGACTCGAGTATAATATGTCTTTATACATCATTCGACTCGACCTCAGTTTAAAAAAATTTCACCTGATCCAAAATCCAACCCGATATGTAGGATAAAAATATGCACATGACTCAATCCGACACACACTATATATATATATATATGTATGTATGAATTTCCTTTTTATTAGATAGAACAGATACCTATTTGAAAAGAATTATAAATAGAGAAGTGTTATACCAATTATCCATAAATATATAAAGGTCAATTATATTATTATACTTTGCATTGTATTTATAATAATATAATTATATTTGTACTTCTGCAAAGATGTTTATATGGTTTCATGTAGAAAATATGTTCTAAAAGGAATGCAACTTTTAGTTTTTGTAAGAAAATGTTTTTACCGACTTAATCCTAAAGATCATCTTCCCTAAAACATGATTTACATGCCCAATATTAGGATTCATTTGATGTTTTAGAGTATCCTAAACGACTTTTGTCATAAACTTACTTCGAAAGAAAGAAAAAAGAGAGAGACAATAGTTCTTACTTCTTACATTTCTCCCTCCAACTAAATTGACTAAACCATGGGTGATTCTATACTTCTGTTCCCTGAGATTCCCTTCTCATGTACGCATCTTCCAAGACACCGACATTCGATGTCTCCCCCCCTTCCTTCATGTCTCTTCTGCAGCATTTGTCCTTTTGATGTCGCTCTTTGATGTCATAACTTGTTTCCATGGCATACATTTGCTTGGACCACTAACCTTGGATCAGCTTCCCAAATCCTGATAACCTCAACTCTTGTCCGAGCCTTCTGCATTCAATGTCTCTTCATGGAGAGCTTTTCTGAAGAATGGGATCCGACATTTTCTCATGCTCTTTAAGCTATTGAGGTTGCCATTAAGAAGCAGTACAACCTGCAAGGCATCCAAAGCACTATCCGTTAGAATCGAATCCATAACACGGTTCGGGTCGAGTCGGTTACGAACTTCCTTAACCTAACCTGATTCATTCGAGGGCGTCGAACCGAAGAGCGATGAATGCATAATGAAGCAGCCAAGAGAACGAGGTTCATTTCTCGTGAATCGTATTCTTCCCCGATGGCAGGGTCGATTAGCTCTCGAATATCATTATTTCTTAGCAGGGGTTTTGCCTATAAAGAACAAAAAAAACGCATACCTTGATTATATAATCTGCCTACTTTGATATTTGGATTGAAAATGATGATAAATAAACGTACCCACAATACCAGGCTCTGCTGAGAGTAATCCAGGGCTCGGCGTCCGGTGACTAGTTCGAGTAACAGTACACCGAAGGCAAAAACATCGGTTTTCTCATCGACTATGCCATGCATCAAGTACTCCGGAGCAAGATAGCTGCAAAATATGTAATCTCTAATGAATTATACCATGGCAAATAAAGGGTAGTTAGTTTAAAGGCATACGAACCCGAATGTGCCTTCGAATTTGGAAACAGTGTGGTGAGTCAAGTTTTCCGGCAGCCATTTCGCAAGCCCAAAATCACAAATCTGAGGTTCAAAGTTGTTTGTGAGCAAAATATTTGCAGCTTTGATATCTCTGTGGATGATTCGTCTCTTACACCCCTCGTGAAGATACCTTAAACCTTCAGCTGTGCCTTGAGCAATCTTGAACCTGATGTCCCATTTCAGTTCGCTCTTTGAACCTGCAAGAATTTAAACACACATGTTTTACATTGGTGAGCCACTGAGACTGGCTTATTGAAATCATGAACAAACCATAAAGAAGAGAAGCCAAGCTTCCATTCGGAGACAACTCGAGGACGAGATGCATTCGGCCTTCGATTCCATAGCCGATTAACTTAGCAGTGTTGGGATGATTAACATGAGCCATTATTCCAAGCTCCGATAAGAAATCACCTATTATATCATCGGGTGTGCCTTTAGTTAGACGTTTAATGGCAACAAGCTTCCCGTTATGTAAACTCCCCTTGTAAACTTCAGCATAACCCCCTTTTCCTATAATATTTTCTGCAAAAAAAGAAACCAAGGCAAATCAAATTCAGTAACATAATTAAACCAAATCTGATAATGAAATGTTGTGGAAAGTACTGACCAGCGCTGAAGTTTTTGGTGGCGATTTGAAGCTGGGAAAGAGTGAAAACTCTGCCTGGAGACTTGAGGTTATATGAATTGGCGCTGTTGGCCAGGAAATCTGGTGAAACGGTCGCGTTTTCTCTCACACTACTGCTTCTCCTTAAACCGAGTAATGGTTTCTTTGATCCGAAACCGAGTAATTGTGCGAATCCGTGCCATCGAGAGGTTTGTTTCGAGCTTTGGTTATTTGATGAGCCTGTGGTGGGTGGCTTGGATGAACAAGCGGTTTCGAATTCTTCGGTCCTGAATAAATCCTCAAGAACGCTTGTTGGAGAACATGAATCCACTTTCTTCTGCATATCTAAATAGAGAAACTAAAACAAAATTCCATCTTTTTTTTTTGAAGTATCACTGCAAAGAAACCAGGAGGAGAAAGAACAGAGTACTCTGTTTTCCTACTTGATAACTATATATATATATATATGTATATATAAATATATAAACATGTAACGATGAATTTTTGTTGACAAGAAATGAACCCAATAAAGAGAAAACTGAAAAGAATTTATGTGTAGAGTAGAGTGAGTTTGCAGTATAATGTATTAAAAACTTAATTAGATGGAAGAAATGATTAGGCGAAGGGACACTCTTTACCTTCAAATCAAGAGACGATCATTATAACTAATCATACCAGTACAGCTACAACTGCTTTTTATACCACATATTTGTGCTTTGGAGGGAATAAAAGTATATGATTTTGCTTGTTTTGTAAGAGTTATGATGAGGGCAATGGGAGTAAATTATAAACTAGGGTAAACTCTCTATTTAGTCACCCACCTATTCAAGTGGTTTTATTTTAGTCACCTACCTATTTTTTTTCTTCTTCAAAATCATACATAACGTTACATTTAGAAGTGGAACCTCCTTAGAACTAGAGATGGGCACAGGACCCGACCCAATCTGATTGGGTTGGATTTAAAAAAAAAACGGGTTCAAGTTGAGTAAGGTTTTTTAGAGAATATGTTCGGACCGGGTTGGGTTTGGGTTTATGGTGAAAAATATCCGACTCCACTTGAAAAATAATAAAAACTTATCTTATATATTTAGGTATAATTGCAATAATAACCCTTTATATATTATTTTTTAATTATTTCCCTATTTTATTGAATAAAATAATATTTTTTTTTAAATATATTTATTTTAGATCAAGTTAAGTCCAGGCCGAGTTTTAGCTCAAAAGGTTGGGTCGGGATTCGGGTCGGGTGAAGTCACCCTTAACCTCAGGTTTGATTGGATCTCAGGTGAACGATATATATTTTTGGGTTGGTCGGATTGACTGAAAAACCGACCCAATCCGATCCAAACTTAAGACTAATGGGACCATGACCCCCAAATATTTAAAAAATAATATATACATATAAATATACATATATATATATATATATATATATATTGAAATTATTAAGTTTTGTTTTTCAAAAAAAATTATATAATAAATTATTAGATTTGATTGTTAAAAACATTTTTATCATTTTAAAATTTAGAATCTACCTAATTATTATTTATTAAAAAAGTTAACACCTATTTTTTAGAGAATATGTTCGGATTGAGTTTGGTTTGGGTTTATGGTGAAAAATATTCTACTCTACTTGAAAAATAATAAAAATTTACCTTATATATTTAGGTATTATATATTATTTTTTTAATTATGTCCCTATTTTATTGAATAAAATAATACTTTTTTAAATATATTTATTTCGGATCAAGTCAAGTCAGGCCGGGTTTTATCTCAAAAGGTTGGGTCGGGATTTGGGTCGGGTGAAGTCACCCTTAAACTTGGGTTGGATTGGATCTCAAATGAACGATATATATTTTTGGGTTGGTTGGATTGACCAAAAAATCGACCCAACCCGATCCAAACTTAAGACTAATGGGACCATGACCCCTAAATATAAAAAAATAATATATATATGAAATTATTAAGTTTTTTTTTCAAAAAAAAATTATATAATAAATTATTAGATTTGATTGTTAAAAAACATTTTTATCATTTTAAATTTTAGAATCTACCTAAATATTATTTATTAAAAAAGTTAACACCTATTTTTTGTATTATTATTTTATTTTCAAATGAATGAAAATCTATTTTTCCTCATTATTATTATTATTATTATTATTATTTTAAGATAAAAAATTATTTGTATTTTTCATGTTTGTTTCTACATTTTCTTTAGAGAAAATAACCTCAGTGAACGAAAATGCCTTATAATATACGATTTTAACTATTTTTTTTTGGATTTGCCAAAATGACCAACAAAATAGCAACGCGAACTCCAATTTCGCAACTCAGTTTCCAAAATCGCAGCGTGAATAGTAAAAATCGCAACATGAATAGTAAAATCGCAACGTGAATAGTAAAATCGCAACGTGAATAGTAAAATCGCAACGTGAATAGTAAAATCGCAAAACCGCGTTGCGAATTTCAAATGGTAACTCTCTGCTTCTAGACTGAGATTTTAAGTGGAAAATAAAACTTATCTACATATGTATAGGAATCAGTTTTTTCTTAATATAATTCAAAATTTAATTTTTTAAATGTATTTCATGAGTCTAAGTTAAGGATTCTTTCAAATTTCAAACTTTAATTAATTGAATTTAGAATAATTTGTAATGAAGATTGACAAATGAAATATATTTGTTGTTCATTTACATATAAATTTTTCACGTGTACGAATATTTTTTATAAAAATTATTTATGTACTTTTTCAACAAATTATTATAGATGAATGATAAGAGATAATTTACATATAGATTCGTTGCGATTTTACTATTCACGTTACGATTTTTATTATTCACGTTGCGAATTTGACTATCGAGTTGCGAATTTGACTTTTGTGTTGCGAATTTGACTATCGCGTTGCGAATTTGACTTCTGTGTTGCGATTTACAAAATCGCATTGCGATTTACAGATTCGCGTTGCAAAATTGGAAACTGGGTTGCGAAATTGGAGTTCGCGTTGCGAATTTGTTGGCCATTTTGGCAAATCCAAAAAAAGTTGGTTAAAATCGTATATTATAAGGCATTTTCGGTCACTGAGGTTATTTTCTCTTTTCTTTAACCTTTGAGTTGTTCGTCTTCCTTAAGTTAAGGACTTCAATCAAATTATCAAATATTTCATTTAAAAAAATATTTTTAATACAATTAATATTTATAATTTTATTTTAAATATCTATATTTATTATGTAAATTCATGAATATTTATATCTAATATTAGAAATTTAGACATATATATATATATGAAAATATTTAAAAAATACCTCTAAATATATTTATTTTCTAAATATAAATTTAATATTTATGGATTAAATTTGTACATTATGTGAAATTTGATATATTTTTATGATTATATGTTATAAGTTGTATGAAAATATGGAAAATAAAAGAAAAAGATTAGATTAATTTTGTTTCTTTAATTTAGGGTAAATTACGCGTTAGTAACTAAATTATCAGTTTTTATCCATTTTAGTACTTATATTTTCAAAACAAATTCAAAAACATACATAAAGTTTAGTTTTTCTTTCATTTTAGTATGCCGCCGTTAAAACCTTTAAATTTTATTTCATTTTAGTACCCACACTCAAAATTTAACTTTAAGTTTTGAAAAAATAAAATTTATGTACTAATATGGACAAAAAATGATAGTATATGTACTAAAGGTGTTAAGTTTTTAATGATAGGGTACTAAAATGAAATGAAAACTAAAGTTTAGATATGATTTTAAAAAAATTGAAAGTTTAGATATTAAAACAGACAAAAATTGATAGTGTGATATTTTGATATATAATTTATATTGATAAAAGTGCTAAAATATTTTAATCACTATATACATTTTTTTAAAATGCCCCAAAGTTAATGTGAAATTCCGTCACTGCTTACGTTTTAGTCATATATTGTTAAAAAAAATTAACAATGATACTAACAACATAAGATAATATCACATCGTCACTAAAAATAAAAAAGTTATCAATTAACAGTTTTGTTTATTCGAATGACGGGTGACTAAAATAAAATCAAAATGTAATAAAAAATATAATTTTGAAAAAATATATAATTAAGTGATCAAAATGAAATCATAAATATTAGTAGGTAGTAAATACATAGTTTACCCTGTAAATTAATGGAGTAGTATAAATTTTGGGAAGTGGTTTGATTGAGATGCAATCATACAAAAGCAGAAACTTGTTGCTTTTGAGTTTGGCTGTTGGGTCTTACGTTTGAACTGATGATTTGCTAAGAAAATAGGCATTAGATTTTTGGCGTGTCAGCTACCCTTGCTGCGTCCGAACAGTTTTATCATTATTTTTCACAAAATATATCTAACTATTATTTTATGAATTAAATTAAATTTAAATTTTTATTAAATCATAAAAAATTAATTTGAGTCAATAAAAAGTTAAAATAAATATTTATATATATTTTTATCAGCCTATAGTGGCTTCAAGATGATACATGTTTTTATCATTTGAAAATAAAGGTTTAAACATTTTTACAGATGATATGTTTAAACTCGTGACCATCAAAGTCAACAATCATTCGGTTAACCAATAATTTGTGGAGATTCGTTCCACTTCGCTCTCAATTGGATATAGATGTGTACAAATTTCGTAGGTTGTGAGGTGGAGATGAGTAGGATTTTAAACGAAACGAGATAGATTGTGATATACCCGAGATTAACTCGGCCAAAGTTCGATAAATACTCAATTCGAATGGATTCGATTCGAGTTTTTAACGAGCCAAAACGAACTACTTAATACTCGACTAAAAAAAATTATATATGCAAATTTTATTAAAAAAATATTAATAATATTAGCATTTATTTAAAAAATAGTAAAAAATTCTCATGTACTTAAGGTTCGAGTTTGAGTTTGACCTTCAACCAAGTTAAATTCAAGATTTTTTTTTATTTCGAACTTTGGTGAGCTTTTTCGAGCTTCAATTCATGATTTCGAATTCGAGTCGAACTTGAACATTTTAGGTTCGCGAGTTTTCGAGTCGAGCTCTATTTTAAAATTTTCAAGTCAAGTTGAACTCAATCATATTTAAACTTAACTCGACTCGTTTACTGCCCTAAAAATGGGAACAAAAATTATACTCACCATGGATGGTGGAGCAGGTGTGAGTATGGCATTGTCCTCCTCTTGTTCTTCTGCCTCGTATTATTTTTTTGTATTTAAGTATAATGTAAGAATTTAGTTTTAATTTCTTTTGAACTCGTATTGATGTTATATTTTAGTTTATAAAATAAAGGATCTTAACAACTTACTATTTTCCAATACGATAATAATTGAAATAATGCCATATGCGATGAAAGTTCGGAAATATGTATTTTATATTTTTTTCATAAAAATAATTTTTATTTATTTATTTTTTAAGTAAATTTTATTTAT